TCTATCATATTACTCGCTTCCTTAATTCCTTGGATCATGTTTCAAATTTCTCCCGAATCTTGATGATGCATGATGCCATTCAGATTCTGAATTCTATTTCAGTCATTTCATCCTAGTTAAGAACCATTTCAGAAGAGCTAGTTTTGTCATTTGGTCAAAAGTTATGGTGGCTTTCTGAGTTGCCAGTTATTGCACTGGTTGTTTCTCACATGTGTTGGCTTATGTTCCTTTAGCTTTTTAAGTTGCTCTTCTTTGGATGGGGCTTTTTGTTTTTATATAGTTTGATGTAACAATTATTGTTATATCAATATATTAGCAACAATATATTAGCCACAATATATTATTTGCTAATTATTGTTAGCCAAAAAAACATTGCTTCCCAGAAAAGCAAAAAGTCCCATAAGGGTTTCACTGTGGTATAAGTTGGGTTCAGTTGCCTGGCTTCTTTTCTGCAGGATTTCAGGAAGCCAAGGCTAAACTCAGCACTCCTGGGCTGCATGCTCTAACCTTGGGTGACTGGGACCAGGCCCACACCTTTGTTTTCTGTCTTCTTGAGGCTAAGCACCTAATGTTCAAGAGGGACAAAGGGCTTCCAGTCTATCAGTAACAACACTCTGATGGCGATGTTGTTGATGGGAAAACAGTTTCATTCGGTCAGTGTCTGTGAGGTCTGTACTCACATGTGCACATCAGCAGTGGTTAAGTGGCAGCACGGTAGTCCATGTGCACGTGTGCGTTGTCAGCAGTAAGTGTCAATGGTTCAGTGTGGCAGCAGCTTTGCCTGGGTCTGCTTGCCTGCATGTATCAGTGGTGGCATGGGTGTGGTGCTCATGTGCATGCACACACCAGTGGGTGTGCTGGCAAGTTTCATGTGTGTGTGCCCACTGATGGCAGCTAGGCAGCAAGGTCCATGTGTGTGCTTGCACCAGCAAAGCAGTGGGGGTATGCTGGGGGTGAGTGTTTGCCAGTGGGGGCCTTTCTGTGAAAGGTCTCTGGTGATTAGTTGAGGCCTGCCAGTGAAGAAACTGTGGAAGTGATGACTGTAAAGTGCCCTCCTTGGGCATCTGAGGCTGCAAGTGGGTGTGATCAGTCAGGGACCTTGTGAAAGGGCAACAGACAGAGGAATGCTCCAGTCAGACTGGCTCTGTCTATGGGCAACATATATGTATAGATCTCAAAATTAACAAAGTCCAAAGGCACCTACGGAAGTGTGATGAGTTTTGCAGAATAAGCATCCTTTGCTATGCTCCATTGCAGCCATTCCTATTGCAAACCCTCTGGGTCCTGCATGGGCTGGGGCCCCATTCTTGCCTATTCTCCAAGCAGTTCTTCCTGCCAGCTCAAATATCTGGTGGCGGGGTGGGGGCGGGGGTCATACACTCTTTTACAGCTAGAATTACCAAGGTCCACAGTAGGATTGGGCCACTCAATACCTATTTAACTCATCCTTTCCCAGGAGGTGCTTGTGGCCAGGAATGAGTATTGGTGCTTGACATCCTCATGCCAAGTTCTGAGATTTCCCTCCCTTCAGCCCAAAGGACAGCATCCTCCCTCCATTCACTCTAAATGTCTTCCTTCCAAAGATCTGCTTGGAGTCAGCTGGTCTTCTTAATGGCTTGGCCTCTTGGTGGAAGAAGATCTCTTGGCTGTATCCAGTTGGCCATCTTAGCTCTTTTTTCTGATTTGATTTTCATAAAACAAAAGTGTGTCTTCATATTGCAGGTATAAATACATTGTTTTGTAAAATGCTCCTTCTGGAGTAGTTCTGGCTATATTTGATCTTGTCCATGTGTCCTGATCTGTGGGATAATTCACAAACTGCTGACTATCTTCAAATGCATAGTGCAGTACTGCCCCATTGCAACTCCACTCCTGTTGCACATATGCACACAGATTACACCACACTACCACTTGACCACTGCTGATCTGCACACGTGAGGGCAGACCCCATAGCCACTGGCACAATAAAATGGTTTTTCCCATCATCCCCTATTAGGGTTGTTACTGACTTGTGCAGGGAGGTCAATCACCTTGAATAAAAAATTGAGAAGCAGTTAAAGGAGAAATCAAACAATTAAATCCATTGTGATATACAAGGTAGAGCTAAATGATCTGGTGCCTCATACAGGTCTCCATGACAAGTACCTCCATCCAAGGTTCATTGGCCAGTGTCTCTGTCTCATGGGCCCATTTTTCTTATTTTCTAAGAGATTGGTGCTAGGTCCACTCTGAGCCCCTGCATGCAGGATATTATTTGGTTATCCAGTGGCGAGTTTTAGTTCCAACAATGCCACTATGTTACTTTGTGTCACTCACCCCAGGCTTTAATTTTCTCACCTGGGAAATATAGAGATTGAAGCTTTTTCTCTGCTTTCTTCTATTTTCTTCCTTTTTAACCTTTCCTCTTCCTTTCTTCTTACTCTCTTACATTTCTGTTTCTTCTTCCTCCCAAATTAATTTTTCTGAAAAAATCTTCCTATTTTGGAATGGCTATTTGTTATTTCTTTAATTAATTAATATTTTAAATTGACAAACATTGCATATGTTTATATTATACAATGTGTACAACACAATGTTTAACATATGTATACATTGTGGAATGATTAAGTCAAGCTAATTAACGTATACATCCCCCACGTACTTAACACTTTTTGTGGTGAGAACATTTAAAATATACTTTCTTAGCAACTATTAAGTGCACAATACATTATTATTAACTATAGTTACCATGTTGTACAATGGATTTCCGGACCTTATTTCTCCTGTTAAACTGAAACTCTGTATGCTTTGACCAACACTTTCCATTAACATGCCCTCTCTCATTCCCAGCCCCGGTAACTACCATTCTACTCTCTGAAAACAAAGATATTCTACATCAGCAGACAATTCATTTAAAACATTTCCTGCTAAGGCATGATATAAATGCACAATATTTGTTCATCCTAGAGTGAGTAATGTTTGCAGCACAACATTAAACATTCAAAGTCACCACTTAAATAGATTTGCTTAAATATTTAACTTTATTAAAACTTCATATTGATGTACATCCAAACTAATATTTTTATACTTTGTTCTGGGTTAAATTGGGCTAAGAAAGTTATTCAAGTTTGAATATTTAATTAATCAACCCATATGCACAGTCTGTCAGTTTAATCTGTTAATAACTTATTAGATATAAAAAATTATGGGGAAATAAAAAGAAAAAAGTTAATTGAAGACCTCAAATAAACAAAATATGCAAGCCACAAATACATTTTAAAGTATGGACATTCTAAAAAAGTTAGCAAATATTTTTAAGAATTTCTTTTTATCCCATAAAATCGTCTTTGGTTAGAGGTAAACATTAAAGGCAGTTGAATTCATGAAGACTCATGTGACAATCCTATTCATGTTAAATACAAAATTGTAACTTTATTAAGGAGAAAAGCAAAAATGAACAACTTGAAATGAATTACTTGTTTGATGACACCGTGGAGGATGAAAATTGTGTAATTAGAAGGGTCACTGAGAATGCTTAAGAGTATTTTTGTTAGGAGGTTCATGTAAATTTTGTTTAGCCCAAGTGATGAGAAAACATAAAATAAAATAGTCTTACCCACTAATCAAAGGATGAATGTGTTGATTGACCTATCTACATTTAAAAAATTACAAAATCTTGAATCTGAAATCTCATTAGTAGACTAATTGTGTACACCAAGAAGAGTTCTAGACATAAAGGCTGTTCAAATTATTCAATATCATTAAACATGTATAAAAGTTATTAGGAGTTGGACATATTCCCAAATCAAGGAGGAGAATCCTCTTGGTAGCTAGGGTACAGTTAAAAAAAAGGACAGAGGAGGATCTAAGATGGCTGAATAGGAACAGCTTTGGAGTGCAGTTCCCAGTGGGAACAGCACAGAGAGTGAGTGCTCACCACATTTCCAAACAAATTTTCACGGCCCACAGACCAGGAGATTCCCAGGCCAAAAAGCATCACAAGCTTTCAGAGCAGAGGTTTCAGCCTGTGCCACTTCAGTGCACAAAAACTCACATAAGTATGGGCAGCCTTTTTGGCTGGTGCCTGGAACACCTGGGAGACAGAGCCACCCATTTAACTGAAAGGGAGCCAGGGGATCTGGCTTGGTGAGTACCACCCCCACAAAACAAGCAATCTGAAATGCTCTGGATTGAGAGTTTTGCAGCAAGTGCACCTGGACCCAGGACTGCCCAGCTCAGTGAGGGGAACAGTATCCACCACCACTGAAGCGGTCTGCCACTACCGAGGCAGTTCACACAGTGCAGGGCAGAGCATGCAGCAGCTCAGCAATGCCTCTCCTGGCAGACTATGACTAGACTACTCCACGCTAGGCAGGGCATCTATGAAAAAGGCAGCAGCACAACAGGGACTTATAAATAAAGCTGACTATCCTAGGACAGAGCAACTGGGAAAAGAGGTGGTTATGAGTTCAGCTGTAGCAGCCTTAAAGGTGCCTGCCCAGCAGCTCTAAATGGAATAGCGGAGTGCCCAGCACAGCACCTGAGCTCCTATAAGGGACAGACTGTCTCCTCAAGCATCTTTCCAACCCCCGTATACCCAAAGACACACCTCATAAAGGGAAGGTCAGGCCAACAGCTGGCTGGCATCCTTCTGGGACTAGGATAGCAGAGGAAGAAACGTGCGGCAACCCTTGCTGTTCTGCAGCCCCAGGGAAGCAGGGTCTGGAATGGACCTCCAGCAGTGCTGCAGCAGACGAGCCTGTTAGAAGGAAAACTAAGCAGCAGAAAGAAATAACTTCAACATCAAAAAAAGGACATCCACTCAGAGAGCCCATCCAAAAGTCACCAACTACAAAGACTACAGGTAGATAAAACCACTAAGATGGGAAGAAACCAGCGCAAAAAGGAGGAAAACACCAAAAACAAGAATGCCTTTCCTCCTCCAAGGGATCACAACTCCTCACCAGCAAGGAATCAAAGATGGATGGAGAATGAATTGGATGAACTGACAGAAACAGACTTCAGACGGTAGGTAATAACAAACTTCTCTGAGCTAAAAGAACATGTTCTAACCCAATGCAAGGAAACTATGACCCTGGAAAAAAGGTTAGATAGATGCTAACTAGGATAAACGGCTTAAAAAAGAATATAAACGACTTCATGGAGCTGAAAAACACAGCACGAGAACTTAGCAAAGTATACAAAAGTTTCAATAGCCAAATTGACCAAGCAGAAGAAAGGATAAGAAAGGATATCAGAGGCTGAAGATCAACTCAATGAAATAAAAGGAGAAGGCAAGAAGAGAGGAAAAAAAAGAGTGAAAAGAAATGAACAAAGCCTCCAAGAAATATGGGATTATGTGAAAAGACCTAATCTAAGTTTGACAGGTGCACCTCAATGCAATGGAGAGAATTAGTCCAAGCTGGAAAACACTCTTCAGGATATTATCCAGGAGAACTTTCCCACCCTAGCAAGGCAAGCCAACATTCAAGTTCAGGAAATACAGAGAACACTACAAAGATATTCCTCGAGAAGAGCAACCCCAAGGCACATAATCTTCAGATTCACCAGGGTTGAAATGAAGGATAAAATGCCAAGGGCAGCCAGAAAGAAAGGTCGGGTTACCCACAAAGGGAAGCCCATCAGACTCACAGCAGATCTCTCAGCAGAAACTCTACAAGCCAGAAGAGAGTGGGGGTCAATATTCAACATCCTTAAAGAAAAGAACTTTCAACTTAGAATTTAATATCCAGCCAAACTAAGCTTCCTAAGCAAAGGAGAAAGAAAATCCTTTATGAATAAGCAATTGCTCAGAGATTTCATCACCGCCAGGCCTGCCTTATAAGAGCTTCTGAAAGAAGCACTAATCAAGGAAAGGAACAACCAGTACCAGCCACTCCAAATACCTACCACATGGTAAAGACCATCGACACAATGAAGAAAATGTGTCAACTAACAGACAAAACAACCAGCTAGCATCAAAATAGTAGGATCAAATTCACACATAACAATATTAACATTAAATGCAAATGGACTAAATGCCCCAATCAAAAGACACAGACTGGCAAATTGGATAAAAATCAAAACCCATTGGTGTGCTGTATTCAGGAAACCCGTCTCACATGTAAGGACACACACAGGCTAAACATAAAGGGAAGAAGGAAGATTTTTCAAGCAAATGGGGAGCAAAAATAAAAGCAGGAGTTGCAATCCTAGTCTCTGATAAAAAGGATTTTAAACGAACAAAGATCAAAAGAGACAAAGAAGGGCATTATATAATGGTAAAAGCATCAATGGATCAGGAAGAGCTAACAATCCTAAATATATATGCACCCAATACAGGAGCACCCAGGTTCATAAAGCAAGTTCTTAAAGACCTACAAAGAGACTTAGACTCCACACAATAATAGTGGGAGATTTTAACACTCCAGTGTCAGTATTAGACAAATCAACGAGACAGAAAATTAACAAGGATATCCAGGACTTGAACTCACATCTGGACCAAGCAGACCAAATAGACATCTACAGAAATCACCACCCCAAATCCACAGAATATACATTCTTCTCAACACCACATGCCACCTAATTTAAAATTGACCACATAATTGGAAGTAAATCACTCCTCAGCAAATGCAAAAGAATGGAAATCATAACAAACAGTTTCTCAGACCACAGTGCAATCAAATTAAAGCTCAGAATTAAGAAACTAACTCAGAAAAGGACAACTTCATGGAAACTGAACAATTGCCTCCTGAATGTCAACTGGGTAAACAATGAAATGAACGCAAAAATAAAGATGTTCTTTGAAACCAACGAGAATGAAGACACAACATACCAGAAATTCTGGGACACATTTAAAGCAGTGTCTAGAGGGAAATTTATAGCAATAAATGCCCACATGAAAAGTGAGGAAAGATCTAAAATCCACACACTATCATCAAAATTGAAAGAGCTAGAGGAGCAAGACAAA